CTTCCAGCATCAAGCCCTCCTCGTATCTGGACCTCCGTCTGGACAATCCGACAGCCTTGATATCCGACATAGAAGAAGGTTTTACATTTAGTGTCGGATCATCCAGTCTCGACTCTCCTTGTATGAGCACTAGTCTGTATTTTGGCAAACTGAGAAAGCGTCTATAAAACTATTTACAGCGCTGCTTAAAGCAAAAACATAAAGATTTACATTTTCATTTGGAAGTTTTCACCATCGGTTCTTCTCTCTCTGATGTATTCAAGAAACACTTTCTTCAGAAACTACACCTGCTGTTTTGTTTTCAGCTGTTTGAGAAAATTCCTCCAGAGAACCAGCGTCATTAGCGTCTATGATGTGTGGTCTTTATTCACCTGTCCAACACTAACTCTGGCGTTTGTTATAAATATTACAACTGACTCGGCTATCTAAAGCCGTAGACATCACCCTGTTGCCTTATTACTGCCCCGTGCCCTCAGGCTGCTCTCAGCACATTGTTGTCAGAAGCAGCGTAGAAAGTCTGTAACAAACACAGTTCAACACCTACAGCTGGACTTTAACTGTTGTGAAGTATTCTACCAACCACTTTCTCCTCACCAGGTTAGAATAAGTTGTCCTGGAGAGTTCAAACCAAGTCACCTGCTGTTTGGACTAATCCAGGACTTCAGCGTGAGGTCACGGCCGAAGCTCTCACAAGACAAATTAGACTCGTATTTTTAACTGTCAATAATGCGCTGACCTTGTCACCGACGCGTCACGAACACATCCGTCACCATTTATGGTTCAATTAAAATGCCATTCTAAATTATTTATCAGTCAGAGGCTTGCTGGACCCTCACACCTTAGATGAGAGGTGGAGGAGGTGGAGGTGGAGGTGGAGGTGGTGAGCAGGTATTTTCTCCTCCAGCCAGTATAATAATATAATATAATAAGAGTCTACATAAAATAATAAAGATGGATGTTTAAAACCCTGTCGTTGTTGTTCTACTGTTTGCTCTAAATTGCTGTTTAACCAACAATATTACCTTCATCCCAGTTTGTATATCAAATCCAAAACCACGTTTTTTCATTATCTGTTTTAAATTATGCATCAGAGCAACAAGAGAAGCAACAGCAGGGAGGTCACACGTTCTCAGACCGGACACTGAAATACGTGGCACAAAATGGAGATTAAATTACTGAGTAAATATTTTGGTTAAATACAAATGACTTGGTTGGGAATTATTAACAACAATAATAACAATAATAATAATAATAATAATAATAATAATTTTTATTTATATAGCACTTTTCACAACAGGATTACAAAGTACTGCACAGATTCAAAGAGAAGTTTAAGGAAAACAACATTAAACGACATTAAAAGAAGTAAAAAGCAAAAAAAAACAAGACATAAATAAATAAAAAATGGTGAAGGTGAAACACAAAAAGCATGAAAGACAATAAAACAATATAAAAATATATAAGAAAAATAAAACCAAGTAAAAGAAGTCAATTAGAAGATAATAAAGGAATAAAACAGTCAGAAGATATAATGTGCTGCCCTTAATGCTGCCACTCAGAAGTCCACTCATAGAACAACTCCTGTAAAAGCACATCTGTATAAATGTGGTTTTAAAAGAGTTTTAAATGAGGACAAAGTGCTTTCAGATCGTCTCAACTGTCTTCGTCCTGAACATTTACATTCAATAAATACAGACGTGTGAAGAATGGTCAGAGAAATCCTAAAATCCACCGACGCCAATTACACGTCTGTCGATTCGTACAAACACATGATGATGATGTGATTGTCACAGGCGACACACACACACACACACACACACACACACACACATCCGCCAGTCGATGAACCCATTCACACTCTCCCATCTATCATCACCTCTGTGTTCCAAAATTAGTCCTGTGTGTGGGCTTAAATTGGCCAAGGACAGCAGAGATGAAAGATAGCCTATAATGAGGTTCCTCCCTCAGGAATCAATGTGTAGCTTTGTCCCAGGGGCCACTGAAGGTTGTCTGTAAAATCAGTCCAGCGCCGGGTCCGAGGCGGCGCATCCGTCACCTTGGCGGCGCGTTGATGAGCAGGACGGAGGTTCAAACAACATTTTGGGACGTCCGTCGGTGCCGAATTAATTAAGGTATAGGTGAAGGTTTGGCTGATGCGCTCGTCACGCCGTCTCCTGCTGGTATCGCACGTTACCGCCCCGATCACTCCTCTGCATAATCAAATTGCCCTTTGGGAATCGGATGACTTTGTGTCTGCGGGCGATGATGCAGAATATGATGATCAGCTAAAGCAGGTCTGACCTTGTGTGTTGGTGTAATCATCCCCCCGACCGATATGAATCTGTAACATCAAGGATGAGCTCTCGCTGCTTTTGACAGACGAGAACAAAGAGTGCGAATCCATAATCTTCCTCATGTTCTACAACGTTTACTTTGTACCTGACCTTTATGCTGTAATTCCAGAGATGCTTTGTGAAGCTAATTATTATCGAAGCCTAATTGAGTGGGTGTTTAAGATGCTGTCGAGCAGGATTTTGCAAGTACGCAAACAGAGGATGAGCCCAGATAGGGATCTTTGGGATGCTCTCACAACTTGGAGAAAGAGGAAACCTGTTTTTGACGTTTTCTAATTTGTTCTCTCTCTCCTCCGCTCTGCTCTCTCTGCAGCCCGTCGGCTCTGAAGCCAGGCAGCTGTGTGGGGCACCGGGTCTGGATCCTGCTGGCCATGACTCACCTCACCCTGGACTTCTCCGTGTGCAGTCCCCTCGGTCAGGGTCTGGGGATCAAGCTCACGCCTAAACCGGTGCCTCGCTCACGACCTCGCTTGCAGCCCCTCTGGGACACGCCCACCAAGCTCCACTGGAGGACGGTGAGCCCGTTGGCCCGCCGGCTCCTCAACCCTGTCCCTCCACTGCAAGACAGCAGGGCAGGACTAGGGCAGAAAGTCAAGGGCCAAAAGCATCGAAAGCCAGCGCATAAAGGACAAGCGGCGTGTAAGGAGTGCCGGTTGAGGTACTCTCACATAGAGACAGGTGATCCTCTGGCTGTAATAGCAGAAGCTCCAGCAGCTTTATCAAGTGGGAGGTTGTTAATTAGAGCCAGGAGGCAGCTCAAATGGGACAGCTACGACAAGTCTCAGGAGGGCCGGACTACCACCGTGGCTGGATTTATTGACTGGGGACCCACAGGCACAGATAGCATAGATGATGACGGCAAGCCGGATCCCAATGTAACGCTGTCCACCAGGGCCTCAGTTACCACAGTGGCCGCAACCACTAGCACTACAACCAGGCTCTCCCAAAGGACGTTAACTGTGGTGACCACCCCAGAGTCCAAAAGCACCACCAAGCCCACTATCGGCATCACGGAGACTGTCAAACCACCAAAGCCATACGGGGACACACCAGGTAAGACACAGACCACTGAGAAAGGTCGTCATTTAGGGTGAAGTGGTTTTTTATTGAGAGTAATTAGGTTAAAAAAAAAAAACTGTTTCTGTCGCCTTTACTGCATTTTTTTTCTTTTAATCACACAACCCATGACTAGTTGAAATGTTCCTTCAAAGTCAGCAGCCTCTAACCCTGTGGTTCATCTTCTGCAGGTTGTTGGTTTAACAAAACAATCAAAGAGTTCATTTGCAGAAACTCCATTTTGTAGATTTTCAGAAAACGTATTTTCGTTGTTGTTCGCTTGAGATAAAATCAGTCAAACTGAAGCTGAGTGGATGTGACTCAGTAGAAATGACAACAATAGAGATGACTTAAGTTTGATTGGTATTGTCTCAGGTAGACGATGGAGAAGTGGGTTTTCTGAAGGTTTGTGTGGATGGAGGGATCTGCTTCAGCAACTGAACTCTTCAGATGTTCTTCCTTTGTTCAACCTTTACGTGTCGACTAATTCCAAATCCATTAAATGCAAAAACAATGATGTGACGAAGAGGCTTTTGTTCTGGGAGGTTTGAATGAATCTATTTTGAAATGCGATGTGGTGTCCAAGGTTATGCTGACACGTGTCTGGTACCTGTGAATACATCAGTATGAATACATCCAGAATGAGTCACGCATTCATGCTACTGTCCAACATGGACGAACCCAAAACCAAACAGCTGATGTTTAGGTTTGCTGTTTTAAAACAAAGAATGGAGGTTCAACAGTGTCTGTAGGAGCTAAAATTCACAAAATGCTGAATGCAAAATGCTTTAAAGCTGATTATGAGTCCAGCTTGTTATCAGTTCCAACAAACACGCCCGGTGTGTGTTCACATCTGGGATCTTATTCCACCGGATGGGTCACGTTTCTAATGAAGCTCCATGCTGGCAGGTGAAGGAAGCCTTTGGTCCGGCGGCCGGGAAGTAAAAAACTAATTTACAAATCAACCGGAAAGCGAACGTACCAACTCTGGGATTGGACCAGATGTGGTAACGGGGAGTGGCCAGTAAGAGTTGTTGTTGTTTATGGCAGTGGTCCCCAACCACTGGGCCGTGGACCGGTACTGGGCCGTGGGTCATTTGGTACCAGGCCACACAGAAATAATAAAAAAAACGTTTTATTGGTTTGTTTTTATTTCCAGCAGAGTCTGTAGTGGTTTCATTTTGAAAGATGACGAGCTCGTCTGTCTGTGCTCGTTTCCTGAACTTGACGAAGCCTTCAGTCGAAATTATTAAAAAACAACAACAAACATCTCAGGAGAGCTTCTTTGAAACGAGGGAAAGACTTGACAATGAAACAGAAGAAAAAATAAACACATATTTAGCAAATAGTTTTATTAGTTTGTGAAACTTTTAAATAGAAAAAAATAATTTTTTTGTGCACAATGACTGAAAATGTTCTTGCTTAAAACCGATCCATGGTTCAACAAAAGGTTGAAGAGCGCTGATTTATGGAGTTCATGGTGACCCTAGATGGACAGAGACAGACGGATGTTTTGCCCGTTTGGTGGCAACAACATGAGCCGATTAACAACTCGGCTTCATCCAGTTTCAGAGACATCAGGCTGATGTGAACATGACGTCATGTCTGTGATCACAGCGTCCCTCGTTAAAACATCTGATGCACTGCTGCAGCATATTAGCGCTGGACCTGAACAGCCAAATAGCCGACTATTCATTGGCTGTGCTGGAATTGGAATATCCCCCTGTTCAGAACAAATACCCAACCGCCACCGCGCGGCGCCCCCAGATATTCGGGATATTTGTCATTAATTGGGGCCGAATATCCAGAGAACAGGAGTTGCTATTTGGACCAGCCCACCAGCATATCTGGTCCTTCTGCCCCTTAAAAATTTTAAAGACCGACCACACGAGAAACAGAACCGTGTTAATCAGCTCATGTGCACCACTAAACGGGCAAAGCGTCGCTCTGTCGCTGTCCATCTTGGGTCACCTCTTATTGGCCGCTCCCCATCACCATTTCTGGTCCAATCCCAGTCGGTTCATTCCCTGTCCGGTCAATTTTATTTGTAAAAGTGTTTTGGGAGTCGGAGGCCACCGTACTTTGGTGATATGATCTGTAATGCAGGTTACTGTGGGCTGTGTTGTCGCAGGACGACGGGGTCGAAGCATCATGAGAACAGGAAGGCCAGAAGTACGGGAGTGAAGTTGTCTCCTCTCTTTCTATCGAGATAATAAAACCGTTTCACCTTCTAACTGCGTGTGATCGACCTACTTTTCATGAATACAATATTGCAGCTTGTGGAAATGGCCCCTGATTCACAGCCTCCGTCCTTGACCACCGTGAACATGGGCAGGTGGGAGTTTTATGGGCGGCCGTCTGTGCCGTGTGGACACACAATGCTCTGCCAGGGATATTAGATGTACCATTTCATTAAGTCTACGAGGAACAGGACTTTCTAAATGGACCATACAGCTACTCATAAAACATAATGCACACGTAGCAGCTTATGAACGAGAACTACGCTGATTGAAGTTAATAATGTCGTGAAATTAGGCACGAAAAGGTACGAGTGATCAGAAGTTAGTATGTCGTAATAAAAACTGTGTAGAGGCTCAGATCGATGTGGTGCAACAACAAACAGAAACAGGATCACAAGTAAACCAGAACCGGTATCACTGAGCCCGTCACGTTAATGACAAACGGAGCGCTGACCGTCAAACACGCCTGTAAAAGTAGGTTATCATGTACACGGCACAAACATACGTGATGCTGATGTGACTGAGCTGCACCTCATCGTCCCGTCAGCCTCGTCGTGATCTCTTCATTTGGTTCTTCATCGGGAGGTGACTGTGAGACCACCTGTGATTGCGTTGATGACTTGATATTGTATCCTGGAGGAAATCAGTCGCCGCCGCTAACTGATAAGGAAAGAAAGTCGGAGTTTTTTCCGAGTGAGTGCACATTATTATACCGCCAAACAGACTGTGTCTCATCAGAGCACATGAACAGAATCGCTTCTCAAAACTTGCCTTCGCCTTCACAGCACATGAACCCGAGTCTACGTGATATTAGCCCCGAGGCAGGGCATAATTGCCACACTGACAGCAAAAGTTAAGCTGCTGCAGAAGGCTTCACCGTGTCTCTGTCTCCTACCCTAATGTCTCCTGCTTTTATCTCCGAGGAGGACGCATTATATCCAATCTGTGTCTGATTAATGCAAACTTACATTCAGGGATATAAACACCCACAACTGGTCGTCTCAATCAGGCTGAGGCGGTAATCAGAGCTCACTTTAACTCACTCACACTCCTGCTTCAGTCTTATGATGATTACGGCGCCTTGTTCGGTAAATCTAAACGTCTTCGTCTCACACGGGGGTATATGAGAGGAAATTGCTTTTGATAAACACACAGAAGTATCGTACCCGACTCAGAACCGCCTGTCATCCACATCCAAACAGAACAACGGTTAACCGAAGCCCCTGAAGCAAAACACTGATTAATTACAACTAATTGGTTTTTAAGTCAGAACAACATCCAGTGGAAGTCGTTCCTGAGACAGTTGAACACCTAAACTCTGGTTTGAAGGGAATAAATTAATAAAAAACAAACGAGGCCAAAGGAAAATCCTGTTCTGACGAGTTGTGTGTTCAGATTTAGTGGTTTAGTGGTGAATGCTTTGGGCTTCACCAGGCAGCCGGATGACAGACAGCGAGGCTAACAGCAGCTAATACGTCAGCGGCTCGGACTAAAGGCTGCTTTGGTACCGCTGGACGAAGAGCTGAAAGTTTCAGCACTGGACCAACAAAAACAAGTCTGGTTCAAATCTGAACAGATTTAAACAGAGACGATGTGTTTAACTGTGAGAGTAGGAGCTGGAGATGCTCTGAAACATGCAGTAAAGCCTGTGTGTGCAGAATGTGTGTTTGCTTCTGTGTCTGCAAAGACTCAAAGTCATGGATGTTAGGATGCATGTCGTGTGCACTCGGCACTCGGGTCTGTAGCTGTGTGTCGCGTGTTTTCATTTTGCTTTGATCAGCGTGAAGAGAAACGTCCACGCCAACCCGAGACACCATCAGCTGAAGCTTAACGCTACTGCTCATGTCCTCCCTGTTGTAATCTGAGTATTTGCAGTAATCAGAGCATCACTGTGCATGTAAGCTGCTTCGATTCCCGTCTCTCTGACACACCTGAGCTCGTCGCTAACCTCTGGGAGAGGTGAACCGGCCACCCTGACATCCACAGCACTGCTAATGACAGTCTCAGTGGGAGGCAGCAGAACGGCTTTATTATGGATTAAGTGTTTATCGACTTGATTGGTAGAATTGGTACGTCTGTAAAATGTCCAGGATCATTTACGACACGTTATCAGTCTACCTCTGCTTCTGTTCTACCAGCAGCATGAACTGGATACGACCTGGTCATTCATATTCTTCTTATTTCACTTTAATGCTTTAATGCTGCAGCTCAGATGATACATATGTTTGCTATTGAGGCCACCAGTACATGTAAGGCTACGGTAGATGCATTAAATGGACTAAATCTCTATGACTCATTAATACTGTAGGCCAGATGACCCCCAAGAAGGATATTCATTACCCCCCAATTAGAATTCCTGATCTATGATGAGCAATAACTTGTTCATGCATTAATGCGTTAAAAATTAATGTGTTAATTCCACAGATTCATCTCTTATTACATTAACACTTTCATTTGCTTTTGAATGAATGAATTGAATTTATTTCGAACAAATGAACGAGAAAAAAATATAAAAACAACAGAAAATCATTTTAAAAAGAGACAAAAAGAATAATAATAACAACACATAATCACATCAGAATACTAACAAGTTCAAAAAAGGAGTGGAAGGAAGGATACACTTTTAATTTTGACAGCCTTAATACACGTTTATTTGATAAATGTAGGCTTTTTTAAAAAATTATTTTCATTTTTTACATTGATCTGGTGACCCCCTGAAATTATCTTGGGACCCCCATGGGGGTCCCGACCCCCAGT